TGGAAAGGACAAAAAAAAACAAACTCTTCATTTATTCAAACATTGACATTCATTCGAATAAATTCATAATTAGATCAAATTTTAATTTTAACCCTAACATCGATATATATACACTTGTGGACAAAAGTCTTCCGCCCTTCATTTTCCTCTGTATCGAACCTCTTTGGTTTCAAGTAAATGTTGGTTACAAAAATGGCTTAAATATTGTATTTCAGTGTAGTGTATGATTAATTACGATCTGCTGTAATAAAGAATATATGCCATTCAATAAAATCAGTCAACACTGCAAATGAATTGATTGATAGAAAAAAATGATGTAGGAAAAAGACTTTTACCGCGTGATATATATATCTAAATAAATACATACATTATTGACAAAGAAAAAAAGTGCATCTTCTGGTCGAAGTTGAATACGTTTACGAATAAGAAAATAAAATTGACCAACCTAAAAATATTATCATAAACAAAACATAGAAAAGACAAAAAAAAAAAAAGAGCCATTACTGTAAGATCATTTGGTACTAAATATTTCTTTGATGGAAGATCCGAAATACGTGAATTTGGTGCACGTTCAACAATAACTGCACATCGATCCGGATATTCACGACGAATACGTTCGCCTAAAAAATTTTCAAATTTTTTTTTGTTTTATTTTTTCATTCGTCATTACCTTCAGCACGGCGACTTTCATAAGGATTATTAGTTTTAAATTCCCAACGCATATTTAATATCTAGAATTAAAATGAAATAAATAAAATCTATAAAGCAATATTTGACATTGTAATAAAAGCAAGTGTGCCAGATATCGATTGAGATCGATTATCTTTGTCTGAAAAATGTTTTTGTAAACATAATTTTCTTTTTTCTATACCACCAAAAAGAATAAATTCACTTCGAGCATATATTAATGAATAATAAAGTGATGAACGTGATGGACTACCAAATACAGATGTAGATTTTGATGGTAACCATGTAACACATGGATTTAATGAAAATAAATTTGATATATCAAGTCGATACATTTGAAAACCACTTGATATATCCATCATATTATATTTATTATTTATAAGTGGTAATTGTGATCGTTTATGTATTATTGAATAACGATTTGTTTCATCATTTTCATCACTTGAACTACTTGGAAGAGATGATGATGCAAGCAATAATTCTTCGCGAGATTTTTTATCACAATGAGAGAAATCATATTGACTATATGTATGACGTTCATTTTCAGTTGGATGTCGTCTTAATCGACCAAATGTTATTAATATTTGTGATGGTAATACCATACAGAATGATAAATAAGATAAATCATCATTACTTGGTGCAAAATCATTTGGATATTGATTATTAACTGTTATTTGTGTCCATTGATTTGTTTGAAATGAAAAAAGCCATACATCACGACAAACACGAGTTAAAGATGAACCTCCAACAATTAAAATATTTTCAGAATTTAATGTAAATTGAGAATGACCTAAAATCAAGAAAATATTTAGAGTATACCAAAAAAAAAGTAGTAATGGAGGTACTTCTATACCATATAGAATCAATTAATATTATAATAATAAAATTTCGAGAACAGTTGTTTTTTATGATATGTGACAATAATACTTTTAAGTATTTGAAATGATTATTGATAGAATGAAGATAGACAATTGTGTTTTGTCAACATTAGAAAAAGGATATGAAGATTCATCGAATCATATATATATAATTGATTTTTCTGAATAGTTTTTAATCGATCTTCTAAAACAATGTCGTTGTTATCAAAGGAAAAATGACTTTGAATTTCGAGTAGAATACTTATATAACTTCTAATTGATAAAATCTAAACATATGAGTTTTGTAGATCTTCAATTGACAGTTCGAATGCATACTTAATAATTGAAAACTCATTGTAAACACCTCAAAAAGTAGGTTTATTTTCAAAAAGCTCGATTGAAAATAAATCAGATGAAATAACTCATATAATTTGATACATCTTCATTTCTCTTCTTTTATAAAAGTGAAATTTGCAATTCTCTATCTTAGTTCTATCAGAAATTATTCAAAAATGTACACATCCATCTTTTTTCTTTGTATATGACTTCAACATTATCATCAAATATCGTAATAAGCATCTCTTATCGAAATTTTATCATTATGACATTAGTTGAAGAATGATGAAATACTAGAAAAATATAGAACACTATCTTTTTAATCAGTACATATTAAAAGAAAATTCCCACAATCATTCTATACAATATTAAAATGTCTTCGTCGCTACTTTTAATACGTTCTAAGTAGTTTTAGAAAATCCGATCTAAAAGTAGTGTTGAATTATAACGGTAAAAATTTGGACCTTTCTCTCTCCTCTTTCAACAGACCATGACAAATGTAATCATGAAAATGTCGCACAGACTGTGATAGAGGTAACCATGAGAAAGTCACAGACCGTGACGAACGTTATTGATATACAATTACAGATTGCGTAAAAAGAACGTTTTGATAGAATATATGTGAACTACATTCTTATTACATTTCTGAATGATTAAGTAAAGTAATGGTGAAGAAATGTGCCCCAAAATAGATAAAATAAACCAATCTTCTTGTAATTAAAAACAACAGCTACAACGTGTTTTGCAAGGTTTGTACTAAAAGTTTCTTTATTTCTAAATGTATTGTTTTTTTTATTTTATTTTTATTAACTAACCTTTTCTTGGTTCTGGTTTAGTTCCATTAACATGAATCATTGTCCAAGTATTTGTCCATTGCCATAAATCATTTGTTCTTTGAGGTGTTGATTGTTGATATTGATCATCTATTATCATACAACCACCAAAAATAATCATTCGTTTTTGATTATTAATATTAATAATTGATGCACTATGATCACAAATAGGTCCAGGTTCATTTAAATTTTTATGTAAATTCCAAGAATTTTTTTCTAATGAATATGAATGAAGTTCATGATGAAGTTGTTCTCGCATATGTATATCATCAATATAAATCATTGAACGACCACCAAATAATAATAAATTTCCTTGTTCATCATCAATAAATGTTGATGAACATTTTGGTGGTGGATAACTTCCTGTTGCTAAAATTCTTTCCCAACTAAAAAAAAAAAAAAAGTTAAATATTTCAAAATAAAATAAAAATAAAAATTTACTTTCGTGTTGATAAATCTAAACACCAAAAATCATTAAGTGATGTAGCCATATCACGATTACCACCAAATACATATAACATTCGTTTTGAATCAACATAACAAACTGAATGTGAAAAACGTGGTATTAAATTAAATTTTTTTGGTGGATCAATTAAATGCCAATGAATAGAAACTGATGATGTCGATAATGATAAATTATTATAAAAATTGTTCATACGCCAATCTTTAGTTACACGTCCAAGTCTTTCCCATTGTCGACAAACAAGTCGAATAGATGAATAATCTCTTTACAAAAACAAAAAAAGTATACACATTTAATAAACCTTTTTTGAAAGATAAATGTTTATTTTTACTTATAAGGTAAAAGATATCGAAAAATACGTAATAAAATTTCTTCGGGTAGATCTTCTATACATTTTGAATAAGTACAAATTTCATCATTATTGCTCATTATTTAACTATGAATATTATCAATAAACGATAAGCAGCTGATGAGTTTAATGACTGAGAAAGCACATGATCAATATATTTTATTGTATTTAATGCAGTCATGCAAGTAGATTTCTTCTTGTTGGATAAAATATTCTCCAATGGAAAGTTTTTATTGAGTTTTGTGTTTATTTATTTATTTCGTCCTTCGTTTTTTGACGTCCATTTTGTTGTTCGCCGCCTTTTTTTTTCTTCTTCTTCTTCTCTTAATAAAGAATATACTGATCGACAAAATAAAAGTGCTATTGAATAAAATTGCTATTGAGTATGTATATGTTTTATATATTATTATTTTTTCCCCAACATTTCATGTTTATTTATTAGAGAAATTGAAGTTTTTATCTTTTTGTCAATAAAAAGATCTTTTACATTGTAGACATATGTGGTTTTTTTCCAAGTAGAGTCATTTTTGTTTTGTTTTGATTCATTGAAAAACTTACTAACGAAATTGTCAGGTTTTTTTCTTTTTTTTTTCTTCCTTCTTATTATTAATTTATGTTACAATAGAATAGTTCACAATGGCGAACATTTCTTGATTGTTCGAGAAGGATGAAAATGATTTTATGCTATTTTGTCGAATACCCACATACAATAGTTAGGGTTTGTTTTCCAGATTGACAATATCCTATATACTAATTGGTAGAACCCATCAGACAATGTGGGTGTTGCAATGTCGTTGATCTGGAAAAATACCGAAATAAGAATTTTTTCTTGCTCGGTAGTAAATAAGAAAAAAGACAAGACATATGTCTATTCAAAAATAGTCATTATTAGTAGAATTTTCTATTGTATATCATTTATTTTTAGATTAATTCTACTCTCTTTTTTGTAAATATATATATCTATCTGGTAAGTTTTTCTATAACTATCGACAGACAGATAAGTATGTGTTTTACAATTTGTTGGGCAATCTAGTGCAATCATTTGTTTAATAAAGGTTCATTAGCTCAATTATAATAGCATTGCGGCGTGAAGGTTTTTTCATTGATTATCAAGATCATTCTCGAACGATTCAAGGTAAATTCGAAGAGCAATCAATTGTGACAAGGATGATCATTGTCAGACTCGACGTCACCATAAAAAAAAGAGACATTGTCGATCTCTTGTCGCTTTTGTTTTCTTTTTTTTTCTTTCTTTTTCACATACATAATGCACATAGTTAGTTAAGCCAACGAATAAGACGTGTTACGAGACTCGTTTGCTTTCGGAAAGGAAGAAGAAGAAGAAAAAGGATATGTACAATAGAGTATATTAGACGAGAAAAAATGTAACTACTACGCATTGAGAATAAGACTTCTGTAAATAATTGTTTTCTTTTATTTGATTGTTGGTTTTCTTTTTTTAGTAAACAAGAATAATGACTGATTTTTATGAAATACTCGAAGTCGAAAAAACGGCTACAGAAGATGAAATAAAAAGAGCGTATGTTATATGTATAGATAATAATCTTTTAATTGAATATTGTATTCTATTTTAAGATATCGTCGGTTAGCTCTTAAAGTAAATATTTTGTTAAATTTCTAATATATATTCGAAATAGTAATTTCTCTTTTTTAGTGGCATCCAGATAAAAATCTTACAAACAAAGCTCAAGCAGAAGAAAAATTTAAATTAATTTCTGAAGCTTATGAAGTTTTATCTGATAGTAAGTAGAAAAAAAAAAAGAGATTTTTTTTGTGTTTTTTAGAAAAATTAAGCTTTTATTGCATTTTAAAAGCAGCATCAGCAATAGTCGTTTCTTTTTTTTCCCCTAATAAAAAAAATATATATAAACAGGTCGTGGACGATTTTTATATGATCAATTGGGTCCATCAATAATTTATAGTGAAAGAACAAATGAAGAACTTGAAGCATTATTTCGTGCAGTAGTTATTGATCAAGAATTTTTAAAAGTCTGCGAAGAACAATATAGAAAAGATGCAAATTATAATCAAGATATAATATTATCATATATAAATCCAATAAATCAATATGATTATGAAGAAATTGCATTAGGTGATAGTGAAAATCAATTAAAAGGAAATGTTGTTCATGAAATAAATATGTCAGTTCATTATGATTTTCAATATGATAAAAATAATTCAGATTTTAAATTTATTAAACGATCTTTTAATATTCTTCCAGAAAGAAGTGAAAATTTAAAAAAACGAAATCGTTTTTCAAATTTAAATTTATCTAATGATATTGATCGTTTTGTTAAAATGCATGATTATGTTCGTCATTCACAACAGCAACAACAACAGCAACAACAACAGCAACAGCAACAACAACAACAACAACAACAACAACAACAAGGTACAAAAATAAATCACAAGAAAAAACCTCCTTTAAAACGACGACAAACATTGAACGATCAGTATAGACGAGCAACAATAAATGAACCACAACAATTAGATTCATTTGTTTTAACTCAACTTGTTGAACAACAATTAGAAGCTGCTCATCGTACAACTACTATGAATAATTTTAAACCAATTAAAAATCAACCTATTCGTATACAACCAACTAATCGTGCTAAATTTATTCAACCACCAATATTAATTTCAAAAACTGAAGAAAAATCTTCTCGTCATCGTATTGATCATATTGAATTTCCAAAAACAACTTTTGCTCGTCCTTTACATACATCATTTACATCTTATAATGATAAATATATTCCTCAATCAATTCAATCAAAAAGAGAACGAGAAAATCTTTTATTTCTTAGTCAACAAGGTATTCTATCATCAGCACGTGGATTTACTTTACAAAAAATTCCAGATTATGTTCAATCAATTGAATTACTTGAAGTTCCATATATACAAAAGAATGGTAATGAATCTCGAGATTTTAAAGTTATTGGTTATGAAACATTTGATCGTCGTCCAATTCCTCCAACTTCTTCTCTTCGTCGTACAAAATCAATGAAAAATATCAAAATATCAAATGAAATATCAAATAATAAACATTCACCAACAATTGTCAATAATATAAGTTCACCTAATTTATCAAAATTAACATTATCATTAAAAAATATGAAACATGATATATATCATAGAAATGAAACAGCAATTAATAATAAACAAGTATTCAAAGAAAATAGTAAAGGTAGGAATTCGTAGAAATAAAACATTGGGGAAATTGTAGAAGAATTAGAATTGACGACTATTGCTGCTGCTGCTGTTAGTATATTTTATTAATCATGCTCTTAACTAATTGATATTAATATCCATTGGATTTTTTCAAATAAATTGCAGAAGATAAACGTCGAAAATATGATCAATTGGGTCGAGCTGGTTTATCAAATGGTCATGGTGGTGGTGGTAGTGGTGGTTTTTCATCTAGCAATGTTTATGGAGGATTTTCAGAAGATTTTCTTAATCGAACATTTCATTTTCATAATCCATTCGATATTTTTGAACAATTTATGTCACATTTTGGTATGGACGATGATTTTGGTAAGTCAAGATGTTTTATTAAATTTTCTGTGTTTTGAAAACAATAAATTAATTTATAGTTAGTTAAGTGCGAGCTTGCTTGCATACATTGCTTTTTTTTTAGACATATGGCCACGTCATATCTTTTCTTCTGGTGAGCATACCAGAAGAATAAATACAATTTTTTGTATTTATTTATTTTCCCTAAATGATGCTTGCATTGCGCATGAGGTGATTGGGAATGTTTGACATATCTATAGTTAAAACATTTAGGAATAGAAGTATTGATGTTAAGTAATTGAAATTAATTATTATTTATAATAGGTTTTGGTATGCATCCATTTGCTGATTTACAACGTCAGCGTCGTAATCGAGATCCACATTCCTCCACATCACGACGTGCACCACAACAAATGGCTTTGTTCGATAATTTCTTTTCTCCAATGAGAATGTCTTTATTCGATCATGATTCATTTGCCGGTGATTTTGGAAGAAATGATATTGGAAATATTTCATCATTTAACATATCATTTGGGTTTGTATATATAAATATATCTATATGGGTGTCAAAAAATTTGTCATTATGTATTTTTAGAGGTGGTGGTTCTCGTCCAATATCGAAAAAAACTTCTAAATCCACTAAAATGGTTAATGGTCGACGTGTAACTACAACACGGTAAGAAAAATTTTTCAATATTATTTTTATTTAAAAAAATCTTTTCTAGAGTTGAAGAAAATGGTCAAATAACAGAAATAATTGAAGAAGATGGTCAAATAAAATCAAAAAAAATCAATGGAGTTTTACAATCGATTAAATAAATAATTTACAATGAACAGAGCATTCGCATTCCAACACATACACATACATTAAACTGTGTCTATACATAAAATATATTCATGAATTTTCTTTTTTTGTATGGTTTATGTGTTGTTGTATCGAAGAATTTTCTTCTATTTTTCACGAAACGAAAGATTTTTCTTCTTTTCTTTTCTCTTTTTTTTTTTGCTTTTTCTTTGTTTTTTTGATTACGACTTAAGTGCTGATGATATCCTATGCTCATCTTTTTCATTTGTGCGTCTCTGTGTGTGTGTGTGCTTAGTATGCGAGATATTTATTAAAATGAATTGGAAAAGATAAGCACTAAAATAAAGTTACAAAAAAAAAAGAAAACTTTTGAAAACTTCTTCATTTTAGAGAAGAAATAATGAGTCATTCAAATGAAAAAGAATTAATAGGTGGAACACATACTCAAGATTTATCTTTATCTAATGAATTCTCAGCAGAAAAAATACAAGATTTACAAGCTGCTTTTAGTATTATGGATACGCAATCGAAAGGTTTTGTAGGAGCTGAAGATATTATTCAAGTAGCTGAAGCTGCAAGTATTAAAAAATAAACATTTTTCATTTTTTATTTTCTTTTTATTATTATTGTTGAATTTTTAAAGATATGATATTAGCTGAAAATGAAGCACAATTATTACTTGGTTCAGCTGATGAAGATCATTCAGGTGGAATTGATATGAGAGAATTCATATCAATTATGACAACACCTATTAAACCAGAAGATTTAGAAGATGAACTTCGTGCAACATTTCGAGTTTTTGATAAAGATGGAAAAGGAACAATTAATGCTAATGAGCTTAAACGATTTGTTCGAGTAAGATAAGAAATTAAAAGAAAAAATTATTCATTTAAATTATCATTTTTTTTAAAAATTATATTTTAGTTATGGGATAGGGAATTAACAGAAGATGAAGCTGATGATATGATTGGTCAAGCTGATCCACATAGAACAGGTGTAATTAATTATGATGCTTTCGTACAATTTCTTCTTCATACATAAGATAAAGAATAATCTAATCAATTTAGTTTTTGTTTTTAATATATAATATTAATGTATAGTTTTCATAATGTATTTCTCTAATTATTTTATATTTAGACTCTTTTACAAATATAGACTTCATACAGAAATTTAAATATCTATGAACAATAGACAAATAGAAAAAAACATTTATGAAAAATCTATTAAATTTTTTCTAGAATGATAAAATAGAAGTTTAGACAAAAGAAAAGATATGAGAAAATTTACATATGAATTCTATCAATTGATCAAGATTTAAAATATTATTGTAGTCTTTTGTTGCTTAATTATCAAATTCAATTTCTTATAAATACTTTTTACAAAATCTTTATGAATAACCGGTTTTCGGTATTTATATTTTAAATATTTGGTATATCTCTACTAAATATTAATATTTTCTTTTACCTACAAGAAATTTTTAGCAGAATTCTTGAAAGATTAAAATATACAACACGATGAAGCTGCTGACATTGTCAAAGAAAGAATTCAATAATATAAGTTTCAGTTTGTGAATTACGACTTACTGTTAATGCGTGTCAACGACGAATGATGATAATCGTAATATATTATAATGATCGTGAAAGAAGAGCGGAATTCGGTCTCACGAATATGTCATTGTCTATGAGAAAAGAATGACAATAATCAAGTATTTGTCAACGACTGTGATGATCTCTTATTAATATCTGTCGAAGTTTGTGATGGATGGTTGGTAAAGTGTCTCTAATGTTTAAAGGATAGAGAGAGATCAAATGTCTATCCCTATACTTTGACACTCATTTTAGATCGTATTTTATAAAATTTTTATATTTCTTTATAGGTAGAAAAATGAATAAGTCAATGATGACGAAAATCAAAACATCCATTATAGGAGTAGTCCTTTAGTATTCCTTTATTTTATCTTTATCCTTAATCATAAAGAACAGTAAAGATAAAGAGTCACCCCTAATCCATTATACGTTGTCGACCATTTTGTTTCTTTTCAATCAGATTTTATTACATTACATAAACAAATAACGGATGGGCCGTAAGTTTTGAGACAAACTATTTGTTTACTTTTGGCTTCCTTGATAATGTTATCGAGAAGTCAAAAGCTCTGGATTAGAACCGGTATATTATGCATTTTCCAAATATGGCCTGAGAAATTTTATCGCAGTTATTATTCGAAAATAGTGTGGTGATCTTTGAAAGACCCAACAAAAAAAAGAGTTTGGATGGAAAGTGTGAATATTCGAGTCAGTTGTTTTGTCGAACGGACAGATCTCTACAAAATTTTATATCGAACTAAGCTCTTGACTTTTATCTAAATGAAACTATAGGCATGTTGCCAAGAACTTCCTTCTATATAAAACGTCTTATGGTTAACAAGTCAATTTTTCAAAAATGAAAATTGAAGTGATCTGTCGAAAGAAATACTTCAATAGTACATTTTGTAGGGCAGCTTCCAGTGTCCGACACGGGTCGGGTCGGGTCACGAAAAACATACTTGACCTCAGGTCGGGTCGGGTCACAAAAGTTTTACGAATTCCGAACTTCACATAAGAAAAGCAGCAATTTTAGATGAGATAATCATTTCTTTATTTCGAATACCTATAGAATATGTATCGATTTACTGAGAAGATTGTCAATGTCTGAAAAAAACTCACTTTTATTGGTCAAAAACTATCCCTCACCTCGGGTCGGGTCGGGTCGGGTTACGAAAAAAGTTTTGAGCTCGGGTCGGGTCACAAAAAAAGTGACTCGTGTCTGTCACTGGCAGCTTCTGTTCTACAAGCTCATATATTAATAAACGTGTTAACATTTACGTTCGTATTGCAATAATGAAAGTACAAAAGTGTATGGAACAATTTTCCGTCTAAACTATTAAGAAAATTTCTAAGTCTACCTTGGAAAACAGCATAAAATTTTGGTTATAATCTATAGTTTTTGAGTCTTCGTAAATATTTTCAAGGGGAGTCAAAAATAAACAAACATTTTATCTCAAAACTTTCGACTTATTCGTTAATCATTTTATTTCTCTCAAAAATAGTTATATGAATAAGAACGATATGTCTTTTATTTTTTTCTCTTTATTTTATTTAGCTTGAGTTTTCATTTTTTCTTGTATATGTTTTAATATTGCTTTTCAAGTTCATTAGGTACTTGTTTTTTTGTCAATATACTTCAATGTTTTGATTCATGACATTGAAAAGCGACACCAGAAACTTGATCAGTTCCTTAAGTATTTTTGTGATTCCAATGTCAATAAACTTATCGATGAAAGTTCATTTTGTTTTTTTTTTCTTTCTTCCGTTGTATAACATTTGTTTTTATTCTATTTGATTATTTTCCATACAAGCAAACATAATATGTCACGAAAAATAACACAATTTGTTATACTTCCAAACGAAATTATTTGTAATATCTTCGATTTTCTTACTACATTTGATATTCTTCGAGCATTTACTCAATTAAATCATCGATATTATAATCTAATTCAATTCTATATTAAGAAAATTGATCTTACGAATGATTGGCAAGGAAATCATCATCAACTACAATGGATTTGTCGATCGATTCAAATACTCAAAATTGATCAACGTCATATCTATTATTTATCTAATTATCAATTTAACAAATTACTTTCACTTAGTCTTATCAATGTCATCAACTGGCAGAATGTAATGTTGTATACAAACTTAAAATGTCTATACATTTGGTTCGATGATTGTCATAATTACTACTCTACAATGGGAGTCATTCCTCAAAATGTTCTTCGATTTTCAACAAATACTCTGTTGACGGCGAATACTTTTCACATAAATCTTATTCATTTATCTTTACATGTATATTCTCTTGTTCATTTAGTTGAAATTATTAAGCGCACTCCTAATCTACAACATCTCTGTGTCACTCTTTGGTCGCATCACACCATATTTTATGCTTCCATAGATGATGAATTTAAACATTTCGAAATGTTGACATCAGATTTTTGTTGTTTAACTATCTTGCAATATCTTTCTATTAGTGTAACGTTTGTGGAGAACGGGCCAAAGTATTCTTATATTTCTTCAGATAATAAAGATCGTCTTCTATTCGATCAACTTCAAATTTTCATAGATCGATGTTGTCCGAATAAGTTAATTCTAAAGCAAGTTGCTCTCAAATTGCATTATATAAGACTTTATGATAATTTATGGTCTACACTTTTACAATACAAAAAAACATTCGATCGTTTCGATTTCTATGTCTCATTTAAAATTCCAAATAGAACACTGGACAATATCAATATACCATCGACAATCAATCCTATAGGCTTTCATGTTGAAGGTCATGATGATCTACTTCAGAGCCAAGATTGTTACCTACATGTCTACTCACTACCATTTGCTTTTGATAGTCTTTATGGATTTACCTCATGTTCTGAACTCAAGAGTCAATGTTCATTTTTTTCTGTTCGTCATCTTTATTTTACAGAAATTTCATTATCTCGTCCGATTTCATTTCAGTCACTCGTAAAATATATGCCACGACTTGTCTCAATCGATTGCATTTTAACTTTCAACGATTCCAACATTAATGTTTCAGAAATAATTATTGATTCAGATATTTTTCCTAATATTCATTCACTACGTTTTTCAGTAAATTTCTCCAATAATCATATCGGTTATCATGATCTTCTTTCACGTTTACTTCAGCGAATGCCATACTTGCGTAGACTCATTTCCTTCGAAGAACAATTGTCGTACGCTTTCAGCTCCAATCAACTTCCATTAGCGTCTATTAAGCTACTCGATCTACGACAATCCAATTTTAAAGCATTTGATATTTTACCACAACGTGTACCGTTTTTATCGACATTGTTACTAAATAGTATGATACCGAATGCAGAGAAAATATCGCAGATTATAGGTAATCTATTCATTAGAATTCCATCGTTGCGTATCGTTTCCTATGAAATGTTTGCAATATATAGTCA